GGCAAAGACCTTAGCAACAGGACTAATTTGACTAGAGATGGCTGGAAGAGACTATATATATTAAAAAGGAGTTTATAAAGACTTCTTAACCAAATAGGTCCTGCTGTTAAACAGCGAACTCTCAGTAAAAATGAGAGCAAATTTTACGTATAACTTGATGAAGAAGCTGAGAAATAAATAATTTTTTTATAAAATACGTTTAAAAAACCGACTTCAATACCTTCTTTTATTGAATTCGGTTAATTAATACACAAAAACCTTCAACACTTTTCTGATATCGGCAACAAAATCGGTTTAGCCAATCACGAGATAATTGCGCACAAATATACATACATACAAGCATACAGGTTGAACTGAGAACCTCCTTTTATAAAGTCGGCTAAATAGAAGAAAAAGTATTTGAGGTGGAAAACTTATTATTAAAGTAAATAACAGTCGAAGTCAAGAAGATAATATTGAACAAAGCAGACGCTCGAGAAATGAATCTGAATTCAAGTCTGCACTTATTTTCACTTCGTTGATTTTATTATAAGAATGTTTTAACAACACTGTTCCATTTACTTGCTCCAGACTTTCTCAGATCGTTATCACAATTAATAATGCTCTTGTTAGTTATGTGCCAAGTTTAATTTGCACACTCAGTTTGCACCGGTGTTCTGGCATTGGAACGTTTGGCATTGAGAAATGGTGCAAATTGTAAAAAGTACGAAATTGAATCTGAATGGAATTCGTTTATTTTTAACGTTCCGTACGTAGGTAATGTGAATGCTTTTAGAAACTGTGTTCTAGTAACTTGGTTTAATAGGTTATTTGGTCAAACAGTTGTGTAATGAAAGTTTTCATTACATTTTGTGTTTAAAATTTGATTTTCCACTCCGACTTCATTAAAATATTTTGAGTTTATTACAAATCCTGATTAAGCATTAGAGCAATGGGTACAATAAATATACTCTTTTCTAAACTCTTTTCTAATCTATCTATCTATCTTATTGTAACCTACGACACTTCATAATTTGATAACAGATATGAGGTAACAATAAATACTGCTACTTGTCTAAAGTAAAAAAAATAACTATCGTGAGCCATTTTAACTCGTCGAGTACCGGTTTTGTAGACACAATTATAGAACAATAGGTTGCGGTCACCGGTGACCGCTTGGTGTTTGACAGTTTAAATCAATTAAAAATCGCGAGTTACTCACGTGAAAATACTGAGAAAAGCTCTACTAGTTTCGAGCCCCAGAGGGGCTCTTCGTCATGAGCAACGTGCGCGGTCGCAGCGATGTCCCGCAACCTACTCCACGTATTAATTAGGTACTGAGTAGGCTGCGCGACATCACGGCGACTGCACAAAAATAAAAAAACATGATAAAATGAAACACACACAAAATATTTCAGCTTATAAATAAAGAGCTTTTAATGGACATTCCCCAAAGTATTTTCTATGCCAAACAATATACTTACGTAGTTACTCAGGACACACTAAAGGTACATTTCACAGACGATGATGTCATCTGCAATGTATTGTCAGTTGAGGGATATGTAAATATGTATCATTGTGTACATACCGCCTTATCTCCATGTAGACTAGTTTAACGTTAGATACAGTTTTAGTTATAGGCCTTATTACATCTAGTAAACATCACCGGACCATGTTTTTGAAGAGGAAACTTTGTTGCATTGTTGCAGTCTTGAAATAGATAAGAAAAATTAACCCAAAGGTTTAGTCACTTATTTGAAAGTAATTATAAAGCCTAAAAAGTATCTTTAGCTATAGATATAATGCTTGTTAGAATCGAAGCAGGTGGCGATATAGTGGTTTTTGTTATCACCATTAGATAAAAGGATAGAGCTGCCGTATTCTGAACGAAAATCCAGCTCAGAATATCGCTCTCAAAAGTGACCCTCAAAATTAATAGAGAAACGGAATAGGGTAGACGACTAATTTTTATTTTAATGTCCGTCTGGTAGATTATTTAAAAACATTAGACACGTATTTTTTATTTTCTTACGGAAACGAATAGTTTCGAAGATATATTGATTTGAAATGTCGCGTGACGTCACTTCTCAGTACATTTTATACTAAGAAATGACGTTTTAGCCCCCACTCCTAAACTTTGATTCGTTTTATCTAAGTATTGTTTTATTATACAACAAAATAAAAAAATACGTATCTAATATTTTTTTATTACCTAAGTTACGGACTAATTATATTTTTAATTTTCATACCCTGTCATCATCCCCATTCCTCTAGGTTATCTACATCAAATATTCCTTGTAATGCTACGTCATCATTAATAGTAACTTACGTTACAAACGCGCCTAAATCATCTTAATTTCTTCAAGGAAATAAATCAACCAATTAAGCTAAAATTCCATAACAGTTTTGATTAAAATGTATGCGAAGATTGGCCATGGCTTCTAGGTCACGGTTAATCTTTGTGACATCAGAATCATTAGCTCGACCGTCATCCCAAAATCTAGTTCTTAAGAAAAAGAAACGTAATGTACGGCAAATATTTTTAGTATCAACGTAGTCATTGCCACGGCCAACAAAATTGAGAACACTGAAGAAATACGGTGTGAAGATAAAAATGTCGATACAAAACAGAAGCCAGAGAGAAATGGTAGGAAACATTCTATCGTTACAACAAACAGTACTGCAGTTTTTAAAACTGAACAAGATTTTTACGAGCAAAATACTGAAGAATAAATTTTGAGAGCATTCATTTTGATGTTTAATGTATCCGCAACGCTATTGCAGTATTTTTCTCTTTTTTTCGTAAACTTTTTTTAACTATCATTTCTTCTTTCTCATAATTATCTTTACATTTCTTCTCTCAATATTGAATTACAAATCTTTTAAGTCATAAAACTAGTTATCGGAATCCACAGTCGTTTTCGTATTTCGTACTAATTTGGCATCAAACCGCTAAAATTCCTGTACCGGTCTTGCCAATCGAGTATCCAGTATATCGATTCGTCTCATTCATACGGGCTTTAAAACCGTACTTTATGGTATAACTCGATATAACATCTGATGAATATTGTTAATATATTCGTGTAAAGACTGTCATAAAAGACTGTCTGTATCTTACTCTTTACAATTAAATATAGATATAGTTTAAGCTCATTTATTAAAAACGATCTAAGTCAAGGAGTCCAAATTGTTATTTCTGTACGTTTTTTTTTGTTGTTGAACCTTTTTAAATATTTTTGATTGATTGTAGATTTAATTGTACTATTAAAGTTAAAAATATTATCCTTTAATAAAATAAATAAGAGATTCGTTAATTACTCAAATTATCTTCAGCAGCAATACATTTGTCAAAGTATTATGGTCACACACATTATCATCATTTTTTTTTAAACGTTGCCCCACACTGAGACTATCTCCTGTGTCATGGGTGCGTTTACAAACATACAAGTTCACATACACAATGACACCCAGACCCGAAACAACAATTTGTGGATCACACAGTGTTGTTCCGTGCGGGAATCGAACCCGCGACACGTTGCACGGCAGCCGGTTGCCCAGCCACCGCACCAACCGTGCAGTCTTTATCTCAAAATACATACAATGCTAAATACCGTGATACTATAAAAATAAGTTAAATATTAGTAATGACAAAAAACAAATTGCTAGTAAACACGAAACATGTAAATACTCTCATTCCAAAAGACATAAATTATTCTGGTGACAGACCAATGCACAACGATGTGGAAGCACCTTGCGAAGTTTTTATTAAAATTCCAACATATTTTTACAATTTCTGATTACCATTTTTGCTTGCATAATTTATATTTGTTAATAAATTTACGTTGTTCTAAGGCCAAGGTATACTAGGACCTCAATGGACGTCAAGAGCCAAAATACTATTATGGAGTCGGAAATAACTTTAAATTAATTAGTTCATAATTTAGGATTCACGTTTGTAAAAATGTGATGTCATCTAATTCGGTAATGTAGTGCAAATCACATGACCCACATGACATTTATTTTAATTAAAAAACCTGATTTTGAAACGTTTTAATCAGTGCAATAGGGTAGATGCCTAATTTTTATTTTAATGTCCGTCTGGTAGATTATTTTATACACAAATACTTTCGACGATATATTAATTTGAAATGTCTCGTGACGTCACTTCTATGTAAATTTAATACGCAGAAATGACGTTTTAGCCCCCACTCCTAAACTTTGATTCGTTTTATGTAAGTATTGTTTTATTATACGACAAAATAAAAAATACGTGTCTAATATTTTTTCATTACCTAACTTACGGACTAATTAGATTTTTAATGTTCATACCCTGTCACCGTCCCAATTCTCATCAGTTCACCACGTGCACCATACTATCAACATATCTAACAACCAATTTTTATCAACTTTCAACTCTCTTTCATCTCCTGTACCATTTTCAACCACTTAAAGATAATAATAGAATCCTCTAGAACACCATGTTCCTCATCTCCATCCACACCTGATCAAGGAAAGAATTTCTCAAACGTAATGCTTGTCATATTTGCTTACACAAACGCTATTATTCCATGAAGCATTATTCCATCTTTCACTAAGAATAGTTGAAACAGCTGGCTACTTGTACACGAAAATCGTTCTAATGTCTGCCAATTTGAACCTTAAACATTTCTCATTATCATACATTTTGCATGGTTTAATGACTGGAGCTAGTTTTAGATTCATGTCGTGATGTATTTTTTTTTATTCGATAGATTTATTTTTGGAACACGTGTATTCTAATTTTACAGTCTGTTGTTTAGGGCATTTTTTATATTGACGAAAATGTAAATTATTTTTATGAATATCCCTATCTAAAAAACACGTTCATCTGAATAAATGCCTCTGTATCCTACACAGACATTTACACATTCGCCATTATTAAATAAACTTGGTATATTAAATACAAATGTAAATTCCATTTCAGCCGATAACTTAACATACTAAAGGTCCAATAACTTGCAGATTAGCTTCGCTTTATTTACCTTAGCAACGGCGAGCCTGCAATAACACTGCACGATAACACTAGTAGCACAATTAGCTGGAAAACTAAAGAAACTATATCGAAAAGTCGTTCGCGAAATTGGTAGTATTTGGTAGGAGAGTGTCGGAGCGTGCTGACGCGTGCTTGCGCGGCGGCCGGGTGTTGTCGACTGGCGAAGATACCGGCCGGCAAGATACACAATGAAATGGCTTTCAACTCCAGCCCGTAGGCTAGGCTGTTACAGCAGTTCTTTATTTAAATTTTTGAATTGTTCTAATTGGAATCTGTATTCAAATAATTCCTCACATATTCCAAATCAATTGGATATTGTCATTGCTTCTAGTTTGAATCTATAAGACGATTAATGAGATCAAGTAAGGATCTTTGATTTTCTGCGTAATTTTTTTTTTGGGACACTTTAATTAGAATCCGTTCTATTTCCTGCTTCTATACCCTAGTTTGGTAACAAAGTTATGTATTTTATACAAATAACTTATCATTATATTATATCTTATCATTTATTTTATCTGAATCACATAAACATATATCTTTTACAATCACCTTTGTTTGTATGTCCGTACATCATTTATCATCTATTAAATATGTTGATTACACCTAAATTATTTTACAGTACGAGTTAATATAAAAATACCTTATTACCTATATCATTAGCGTTAATACGATAATCGCAGGTTAGGCAAAATTCATAGATGAATTTATAGGTTAGATTTTCTTATAGAAAGGAGCAAACAAGTAGACAGCCTCTTGATAGTAAGCTTGGTAGGAATCAGCGTCACTTACAATTATTGACACCCACAACACCAGAGGAATTACAAATGCGTTGCTAGTTTTGAGAGGAGTTGGTAGAGTATCCTAGTAGAGACCCTATACAATAATATAATTGGCGAAAATTCCTATACAAATACTTATTGTAATATCTTTGACCTTAAAATCGCACCTATAAAGCCGTCATATTGTTATATTGAAACAATACAGTACCTATATTTAATCGGTCTAATGGTCACTAATTCTTTGTTTTAATATAATTGTAGTAGCATATTACGAACATACGCATATATATGTATAAAAAATTGTACATATTATAAGTCTTTATAATAACTATTGTGAGACATACTAGATTAAATGAAAATCGCGGATCACTCACGTAAATATACTGAGAAAATGTCTACTTGTTTCCAGCCACAGAGGGGCGCTTCCTCATGAGTAGCCTGCGCAGTGACGGTGATGATTGATTGATGAATCACTCGCTGCTCTTGAGAAAGAGCCCCTTTATGGATCGAAATCAGTAGAGGATTATAAGACGTTTATTTGTTTCGGTACGTGAACATTAACTTTGTGAAATATAACGATATTGTTTTCAGTATGGATTTTTAGAAAATAACGAATTATAGTTTGTGTGTGACGCCTGAGCCAATCATCGTCGTCTTGTCCTTTTCCCATCTCTTTAACACGACTTTCAGTATGTTTACTTACGTAAAATAATTAAAAACTAATTTCAAGTTACAGAGGGACTCTTCCTCATGAGCAACATGCGCAGACGCGGCGACAGACATAGCGCAAGCGCAACCTACTCTGTTAATTAATATTTTTAATTAATTTAGTAGGAACGGTAGTTATTATACAAATATAATTTCATGCCTCGTTGGCCGAGTGGTCGCAAGTGCACTGCTGGGCAAGGGGTCTCGGGTTCGATTCCCGGGACGAGCAAAGTGTTACTGAGTTTTTTAAAAAAAATCTCAGTAGTAGCACGGAGTTTATAAATGTGCCCGGTATATGGCAATAGGCTCACCCCATATTACATGGGACTCATAACATATATACCTCTAGTGAAAAGTGGGTGTTACTTCTGTGTGCACCTCTGTCTACCCCTTGGAGGATAAAAGGCGTGATGTTATGTTATGTATAATTTCATATATCTGTGACAATGAAAATGTTTATAAAAATTTTAGAATAAATATCAAAGTTACAAAATCCCATGAAACATAATATGTGTAAAAATCCCTTGACACGTCATATCGGGGCCTTGGCTGAGGTATTTATTAATCAGATAACGTTAATTAGCAGGCAGACGTTACATTTGATGTAATACTGTCCCTTTACAAGGCTGTGCTTATCTACGGCAAATAAAACCTTCAAGAGAAGAGCGTACTCCTTTTTAAAGGGCCGGCAACGCACCTGTGACTCTTCTGGTGTTGCGGGTGTCCATGGGCGGCGCTGATTGCTTACCATCAGGTGATCCGTCTGCTCGTTTGCCTCCTATTCCATAAAAAAAAAAAAAAAATAAATAAGTAAATATCCTCCTTGGTTTAGTACTGGCAAGAAAACTATAAAAGCCAACTCGGTACTTACTTGCCAACTAGTCAAATTCAATACTTTTTTCGAACTGTCAATAACGACAGTTTTATTATATGAATTTTGTACGAGACTGTGTTTTGTGACGTCACGTTTTTTCAGCGACAAACAGCATACTTATTTTTTTAAAATTTGCTGGAAAACTACTAAAATTAAGTTAGTCATAAAATCAATTAATGAAAGTGTGATTATTTTTTTAAATATTTCGTTGTATTGAACAATGGAAATAATTTATTTTTGATTAGTGAAAGTACCCAATATGAATTTGGTGAAAAAAAAATAGTAAAAAGTGGGTGTTACATTTTTTGTATAGTGGCATTAAGTGCCATAATGTACACCTCTGCCTGCCCCTTCGGGGATAAAAGGCGTGAAATTTTGTTATGTTATGAATTTGGTGAATGAGGTTTTGTGTATGACTCCCTTAAAAGGAAGGAAGTGGAGGCAACCGGAGGACTTGTATAAAAAGCAAAATAGAGTATCGTTTTATTCTTTTATTTTTATTTATGGGTCAGTAAGCAATGGACGCTGCCAATGGACACCTGGAACACCTGGAACACCTGGAACCTGCCAATGGACACCTGGAACACCTGGAACATATTATTTCGTATATTAATATCTATTTCAATTTAGATTTAAATTTACACAGTAACGTCCCTACACCATTCATCCTAGTTATAATAGGAAATGTTGTATGTTTGTCTGTTCAATACTCCTTTATGTCAAAATAGCTAAAGGGATTGAAATGAAATTTAGAACAGAGATAGACTATGGTCTGGAACAACAAGTAGAAGCTTCATTCCACGGAAAAGCTGGCAGAAGCTAGTTTGTACATTACTACAATCTACATAGTATAAAACAAAGTCGCTATCCGCCGTCCGTCTGTCCCTATATATGCTTAGATCTTTAAAACTACGCAACGGATGTTGATGCGGACTTTGTGATAGATAGAGTGATTCTTAAGGAAGGTTTATATGTATAATACATGCATATTGCGCCTGTGCGAAGCTGGGGCGGATCGCTAGTAAAGAAAATAGAACTAAGTTTTCATTTATTCTTCCAACACAATCTTTGAACTAAGCGACTAGCAACTGTTGACACATTTTACTAACAATAATTGTTCTTAGAAAATATCACTCTATTACATATAAGTCAGGTTTAAAAGCCGCCTAGCGTTTGCTCATAAAATAAACAAATAAATTAATAAATCAGTCGCGCAGCTATCTTACTCTGTGTCATCTTATAAACGTAGCTAACGATGGATGATCTGCATGTGACCTGAATTCTTTACAAAAAAACAGGGCAACACTTGCCAACTCATGAATGAGTAATTTTATATTACGTGTGGATATGATTTCCTAATCATCATAATTCTTTAAATATAAATGCGAAATTGTCGTTTAACTCAAATTTGTGACCACGTCCTGAAGAATTTTTGTAATGTTTCAGTCAAGAATCTTTTGGAAGCGAATCTATAATAGGATTATCGAGTAGACCGTGAAAAGGTTAAAATAAGTGTGGGAGAGCCATGCTTCTGCACGAATGGGCCAGCTCGACCGGAGTCATAACATGGCCTCACAGAAAACCGACGTGAAACAACGCTTGCGTTGTGTTTCGTCGTGTGAGTGAGGTTTTTTTTTTTTTTTTTTTAAGGGGGGAAAATCATCGAATGACTGCCCCCGCCTGGGTGAGGCGGGAGGGAGTGTCAGACTCTTACTGACTAAAAACCACCCCGTTCCTTCTCCTGCACGTCGAGCCGGAGCCCCGGTTACCCGTTAGGTTCTCCGCGACTCCGAATCGGCATCGGCCCTATTGGGCCCCATCTGTGGTGGTCTGATGGCTCTTTGAGGCGCGCGCGGAACGCGACGCGCCGTACGCTCGGGTCTGTTTCTGGTCGGACGGGGAGCCACCCATGCTCGCCGTCCGCAGGCCCGCGCTTACGGTGGCCGGAGATCGTCCCGCGATCCCCGACGCCCGGTGTGTCCTTCGCGATGGCTGGGTTGCGAGGAGGCAGCGCTTCGCTGCCTCACGCGTCCCGCCTCCTCCTTAGCTAGCATGACTGCTTCGCAAAAGGAGGAGACGGCATCCCAATCCCCCTCGCTCCGCATCATGGCCTGCACTAGGCCCGGACGCGAGAGGTCGCCATCGCCGATCACTTCCCTGAGGACACGGCGGTGCTCAGCCCACGAAGGGCATTCTCCCACCGTGTGTTCCACCGTGTCCTCAGGGCGGTCCTCGCAGTGATGACACCCAGGCGTTTCCTCCCGCCCCATCAGACACAGGTACCTCCCGAAACTCCCATGTCCGGTGAGGACCTGCGTCAGGCGGTAAGTGAGGACGCCGTAGCGTCTCTCAAGCCACTCCTCAAAGAGGGGACTTACCGCTGCGATGGCAGCGAGCCCAGTGTGAGTGAGGTTACTGGAGGCCCAATTACCGGGGGGAGACCAGGGAGGGGTCCCTAGTCTCCCGAATCCCCGAATCCTCCACAATCCTCATATTACCAACTCCCAAAAGACCGGTAACGCACTTGTAACGCCAAGGCGTTTCGGGTGTCCATAGGTGGCGCCGATTGCTTACCATCAGGTAATCCGTCAGCTCGTTTACCGGTTTATGCTATAAAAAACAATACATTAAAATGGAGTGTCTTTTTACTTCATGCATATGAATATATACAATACACATACTAAAATATCTTTTTTACATATTTTGTCTGTCTGTCTGTCTGTTTGTACTGGCTAATCTCAGGAATGGCTGGACCGATTTTGCAAGACTTTTACTGGCAGGTAGCTGTACCAAGGAGTAACATATTAGACT